TACCTCCCTTGAACTTAGATTTTTTAGGGGAAAAAATGTTGTCTTTTTTAAATAACTTCTTATTTCCTAATGTATCTACTTCGAACTTAACTATATATGTTTCTTATTATTTTGAGAAGGTGTTAAATATTCTAGCAAGACTATTTTCAGAATTATGTCCCCCTTGAACTTAGATTTTTTTCGAGAAACAACTGGTATTTTCACTCCAACTTCTTCATTCCTTATAGGATTTTACTTTAAAAAGGCCCAACATCGTAATATATGACAAGTTTTTATAAACATAATTTCCTTACTAAGCATGGAAACTTAACACATTACTGTGATATAGACAAACTTTTTTTATTTTATTTTATGTTTTTTTTTGTGGTGATATTTTCAAATACAGACTTCATCCTCAAATTCATTATAAATGGCAATACACAGGAGTGTATGACAATTAAAGAACTTTTTGAGGGACCGGTAGGGGACTACTGTATTGCCCGCAATACTATCAAATGCTTGTTGTATTTGTTTTCGAAATATTTATGAAAATACATTTATAAAGCCTTGAAAACAGATACTGTATGTATTTAAAGTTAAAACAATCATTTGTTCAGTCGATACGAGGTTATAGGTTGTCAATATAAATACAATTTACATTGAAGGACACAATTTGTACTACGCATAATTATTGTAAAAAGAAGATTGATATTAACAAAGGGAAATGTCGAAAAACTGCTCTACATATTTTCAAACTGTTATTTAAACAATTATCAGAACTGTACCCTTTGAAAACTGTCGATAAAAGCAGATCCAGTTTCATCAACTTAAACATAAATTTTAGATGATACGTTTTAGATTTTAAAGCAAACGCATCAGAACTTGCTAAATGTAAAATATTCATCTCCACATGAAGGTTTTAATAAAATTTAAATTTATGATTACTAAGTTAAACATGATAAATATTTCACTTGACTGATATTCCAAAATAAAATGTCTGAATAAAACGTTTCTTTTTCTCTATAAGATTTAATGGCATAATGTAGTGCTTGTTACATATTTTACTCTATACAAATTAAATTTGAAATACGACATGTAATTCTATTTGGCACTAAATATATATATGATTCCTTGTTATTTTATGGACCGCACACGTCCTTGCACAGTTAGTTCTCTACAGTATCTTTCAACGGTTCTCTTTCTAACACAATACAATCGTATATGTTTAAGCGCATACACGCTATTAAGGCCGTTATTACAAATACTACATAAATAGTACACCCAGCAAAATGGTTTGAAATAGTTTTCAAAATATTGCAATTTTAAAATTTAAATAATAAAGAACAAATACGTAAATCGCCGAAAAAGGAATATTTGAAACTACCAGTCTACGCCAACATTTTTAAGTGAAACCAGTTTATAAGCGATTTCCAACTTACTCATCATCATCAAAACCGTCATTACCATCCTCCTCATCATCATTATCATCATCAACAACAATAGCAGCAGTAGCAGCATCAACAACAACAACAACAGTAAAAGTACAAAATCATCATCATCTACAGGATACATTATCAGCATTATCAGTACAAAATTATCATCATAAGAATATAACATAATCATAATCAATACATAATCAACATCACTATTTATCATTTCATCAACACCAACAACGGCAGAGACTGTACATCATCATCGTTATTGTCACCAGTCTTTATCATCATCATCATCATCATCACCATCATCAGGACATTAGTATCACAATAATTAAGCGCGGTCAGATTTGATAATAATGGAGGTAACGACAACAAGATTTAAATAGAAATACCAATGATATCAATAATCATGGTAGAGGTGTCATTGATGAACTTAATTATTGATTCAATGATGATTTTTTGATGATATTGATGATGCCGATGGTGGGATAATATAGGTGTTGTTTATTATGATTTTGATAATGATGATAGTAGAGGTGACAATAATGATCTTGACGATAAATATGATAATGATTTTATGATGAAGATGATGATGATGTTGATATAGGTGTTGAGCCTTGTGATTTTGAGAATGATGATGATATAGGTGACATTAATGATCTTCCTGATTGATCTCATACTGATTTAAGGTAGCTCGCTACTTTCCGACCGAAATATGACAGCATCTCAGATCTTGATGATTTTTGGTATGCAAACATATAAATATGTGAGCTTTACTTCTGCAGTATTATTTTATAAATAAACAGCGTTACTCTGACGTCAAAGCGCCCTCTATCGGTGGCGGTGAAATTGCGTCTTTTTATCAATAAACCGGTCTGTTCTTATCAATTGTCATCCGATTTCCTTCATTTTTTATATCATAATGTTCAGTAAATGTATGTCTTTGTAATGATATCTTTCTTGAACATTTACTTAATAGTCTGCGATTTACATCATTTTTCTCTACGTTCTGACTCCATACTTTATGCAAATATCGCGCGATATCGCATTAAAGATTGTGTAATAAAAAAAATTCAACACGGTGAATTTTGCTATAATTTTCCGAGCGTGTAGTGAGATAGTGAAGGAAAATATTTATGCAATAAAAATATAGGGTCAACGCGTAAGATATTTTTCTATTATGGTTTTAAAATAAATAAGGGTGAGTGAAACGTTATGATTTTGGTTACGTTAATAGTTGTTGGAGTTCAAAGAATAATACCAAAATAACAATTTTCTTACGTCAACATTACGATAGGAAGTATAAACAACACACAGGGAATTGATGAAATGTATATTTTTTAAATTGTTTGATTATTTTCTCATTGAAAGCATGCGCTAGCATGAGCACATTTACAATGTTTAATCCGACAATCCCTTTTTAAATACTTTTCTAATTTGCAGGACACAGTCTTCTCATACATCTTTTAATTCTAATTTCATAATGTGATGTTGTTAAAGTGTTTATATTATTATATTAATTAACTAGTTTTAGCGCAAAAAATAACATTCACATATTGCCGTAGAATATTTATTTTACGTTACATTCAGCCTTTAAACACTTTCATAAAATCACATAAAGGCAGACGAGCCTCGGTGACAAACACATCGTAAAAATACAATTAAAATAGATATGCATACAAATGTGCCGAAATAAGTGATAAATAAAATTCAGAAATAATATTCAAATATGTTAAAGGGACTCCACTGAGGTATTTTGACATGATGGAACTGAAAACGCATACCGCGAGTCAGCTAGTTTAAAATAAATAAGAATATCTGTTATTATGTGAAATACGTGAAAAATTAAAGCCATAGCACGAGAGCGTGATTCCTGCTTTAAATCTGAGTCACACGCTTAGTGCAGGGTATTTAGCTGCGAGATAAAATAGAATAACTGATGGCTGTTAATAAATAAATTTTTATACGTGTAGAAAATTTTTGAATAAAATGGTCTGCTAGATTTTATAATATAATTAAGACTACCAGTGAATCATGGATTACGTACAAATCGTTGCTACTTCCAGTTGATCATATATTTTTGAAACGTAAATTTGATTCATTTCCTACCACAGACATAGATGTTATCTATGTCTCTGTTCCTACTAACTGATATATACAATTCAAAATGTTACATATGATAACATGGAAGTTTATGTGTACCGAGATACACATAGCATGATGACATTGCGACTGCACCAACCTTTTCATTTTTTTTTTCTACATTCTTTGAAAAATTTATTTTTTATAAATTTCCACAATTATATTTTTCAAATTCTGAATTGTTTTTCACCCGGGTATAATATCCATTCGTTGCAGTTTCAGCTTTGATCCCAATTTTTGAAAACTTTATCCCCATTTTTTTACTTAAAAATTTGAAATATTATCGAAATCAGGCATCTGACGGACTTTTAAAAGAACATTTTTAGGGAACAGTCTTAAAACATTTTTTTGTTTTTACACATTTTATTCCTCGTATTTTTTTATCGAAAAGTGCGAAAACTTTTTTTGAGAAAAAATTTTTTGAGCCCCAAAAAAATCATTATTTACTCCCCCTTTTATTTAATTTTCAAAATAATAGCAAAATTTTACGCGGACCCATTTTTTTTTTGCAAAATATTTCTTTATGATTTCACTAAGTTAAAAAAATTAAAGCAAAATTCACGTGTTATTTTTTATATTTCACAATCTTTATTGCATATCGCGCGATATTGCATCAAATTTGGACGTCCAGAACGTGAAGGGAAAAATAATGAATCGCAGAGTATTAACAAATTTCAAGAAAGACATCTTACAAAGACAACATTTACTGAACATTATAAAAAAAAATAAGGGAAATCGGTGGAAAAATTAATAATACAATACCGGTTTATTGATAAAAAACCCCGCAATTTCGCCCCCACCGATAGAGGGCCTTGACTTTCGTATTACGCTGTTATTATAAAAAAATGCTGCAGAAGTAAAGCTTATCATTCTAATTCAGATATACCAGAAATTTATCAAAGAATAATATTGCAAACGTCGGAAAAGTAGCAGCACCGTTTAATGATGATATAATGATTATAGGTGATGATCATTATGATGATCAATATAATATAGGTGTTATTTTTAATTTTTTAAATTGATTAGATACATTTTTACTTATATAATTTAAAATTTTTTTATATAATAGGGGTTGTCATTTTCTATTAAATAATGAGCGATAAAATGACTTTTTTTGGGGATGATGATGATGAAAAGGGGATGATTAAAGTTGTTTTTAAAATTATATTAGAAGGGGATTAAGGGGAAATTTAAAGTATGATTACTTTTTAGCAAGGCGGGTGATACTTAAAAATGGTTGGGTATTTAAATGTTATAAAATTTAACTACTTTTAGAATATTTTAAAACGCTTTTATTCGTTTATGAAACTGAATGCAAAAACTTAATTTTTCATTTGGGGTTTTATTAAAAAAATTTTTATTTTGCATAATATTTTATTTGAAAAAAATATTTAAAAAATTAAAATAAAATTTAACAACGACGCTTTAATTTACCAAACATAACGATTATCATAAATATATTTCTTAATCTACAGATATATATTTTGTCACAAATTATTTTCAAATATAACGCACAGTTCTGAATCAAACAACATACATTAAAAAACATTCATATTCACTTTCTAATCATTGTGTCGGTTATATATCTACACACAATATGACATACTTTCAAACAAAAAACTTTTAAAACAAAGAACTTTAAAAATAAATAAACAAAATTATTATCTATTAATTGATTTTAAAACTGCAGACAAAGGATTGGTGATTCATTTTATCAGACTGATAAGCTGCAATGCATTAAAATAATAGACACTTACGAAAACAAACGTATCTCAGCTATTTAAACTTCATTTGTTTGACAGGTAATATTAGTCGATAATGAATATAGAAGATAATAAAGAAAATAATTATTAATGAATAATTAAACGTGTTATTAAGCAATGCATGCTATTTTCAGTTCAAATTTCTAAGTCCATTTGAAAACTATGTTTAAGTAACATTGCTGTTTGTAATATTCATTATATTTCAACATTTATTTATGTTTTCAATTGAAACGTATTAAGCATAATAACTTTAACTTCATTGACATATATGAATACATACAGAAAAAGAATTATGGGGTGTGTGTATGCGTTTTGCGAAAGAGAAATAAATTAGTAAAATCATAATGAAATACAACTCATGTTATTGTCAAAATTATTAATTACACATTGTGGAATAAAACCCATACTGAATTAATACATATTAGTATTATCAGTAAACCAAGCAGCATTAAACAATCATTCCCTGCATTCCACATTCTTGCCCCAAACCACTGATCTCTCTTTTTTGCTTCCTTTGTATAACGTTTAATTTCCTTCTGTGCTGCGTCTTTTTCAAACCTTTCTGTCACCAAGGATTTATGTTTAGCTTGATCTGCTTTGAGCTGTTCATCACGATCTTTATCTAAGATTGTGTAATGATCTTCTAGATCTTTTCTTTGTTTTTCTAGAGTTTCCTGTTGAGCCTTTTGTTGTTCCTGCAAAAGTTGTTCGATGCATTCTTGATTTCGCCTTTGCTCGTCTGAAGAAAAAGAAATTTTATAATAAGCATAAATGTCTTATATGGTTCGTAACATTTATCGCATTTCTCGCGATAACTTCATAAAACATGATTGCTATAGTTTCAATAAGCTAACAAAGCAAAAATAGTGTTCACTTGTCTAGTTCAAATACTGTTTATCAAAATAATCCTTAAAATTGATCGCCTATCGATTGCATTTTGTTGGGGTTTTTATTCTTTTAGGGCTTTTACTTTTTAAAAAGGAAATACCCAAAACTTGAAAAAATTTTATACGAAAACAACCCCACGAGTTACAAAAAACAAAAATTTTACTATTATGTGACTTTCATGGGAAACAGTTTTTTTTAAATATTATCAGGGCTTTTTAAAAGTCGTTTTCATTTTATATCTATTAACATAATTTAAGTAATTACGTACCTTCTTTCTTCTTTTCCGACAGGTTTTCGTCTGCTTCAACAATTCTTGCTACTGTTTCTTTATTACATTTTATAAATCCATACCATGCATGTAAAATCTTTGAAAAACAATAATAGTTATTTTATAATAATATGCTACTGATCAGGTATAAAACGATGCAATATATATGTCTTGGACTATAGAGGAACACAATAAGCATTCTTTTTACAGAAAAAAAAAAACCGGATTTTTCAAATGAGATTTCTTTATCTACGATAAAACTATGTTACTATAATTTTGGGATTCCGCAAACAGTGTACAAATTTTTTATCATAGAAAAAAGAATATACTGAAATAGAGCCAACACATGATTAACTTAATAATCACTTAAATCGAATAAGAACAAAATGGGGAAGTACAACATGCCCAATACAAGGACTGGTTAAAGTTTATTTTAATTTCCTACCGGTTTCGGTTCTATCAAACCTTCAAATCAGTAAATAAACAAATGCATGCATTATAAATATTGAAAAGAACTGAATTAACGATGATTAACATAAAACGGTTACATTTAAAGAAGCACGCACGCCTCCAGATTCTTGTATATTTCCATAACAAAATTGGAAATGTATTTTAAAGCAAAATAATATAAAGCGAACAAATAAAGTAATTTACTTATTGCCATCGGCACTTACTATCCACGAAAATTACCACAAAGTGGTCAACATATGCAAAACCAGACCTTACTGTGTTATTAACACAGTAGAAATATGGTGATAAAATACCGTAAAATCGGTGTTTAACCGCATATAACATGTAAAATATTACATGAGTCTTGAATAGTTTACCTGTCTTGAAAGTTTAGTAAATATTATTTCAATAATGATTTTCTTGTAATATTTTGGCTCATCTGGAGGCGTGCAGCTTTAAATATCTTTTTTTTATATTATCACGTTCAAATAACGTAAAAACTACAACTCTGATTAGAGATTGACAAAAATGGCGGACGAAATATTCGGGGACACTCTAAACACTTTGATGATAGGTTGGACACCACCAATTTATTCGTATGTAACTAACGGTACAAAATAAATGCATTATGTACAGAGTCCAATAAAGATACTTTCGTGCTTGTTATTAAATCATACGTGCGTTCCGCGATATCGATAGTTTCATATTACTATATTTTTAATTGAACGAAAGAAAATCTTAAGATTTAAAAGTTCAACGAACATATAAAAATGGAAGATGTTTTGTTAGCATGTGTTATATGTATCAAATTTCTTCAGGTGGAAATACAAGCTCTATATTGTTTGTGGATAACACTATATGCATATACATTTCTAAAACTCTCCAAACCTCGTTTTCCTCATAATCGCTGAGATTACTGACATACTCTTCCTTTAGCCGTTCAACATCACGTTGAAATTTTGGGTAACCACCTGCTGTTTCATACTCTTTCTTTTTAAGTTTTTCCTCAATACATCCTTTGAAAGCTAAGTCCAATTTCTTTTTACACATTTCTTGAACCTTTGTGTCATTATCCTCTTTGATGTTATACCAAATTTTATCCATTTTCCTCTGAAGAGAAATAACAAACGATAATGTACCTATTTGTTTTCTAAATCACGTGTTTCAAAAATCACAGAAGAAAATAAGCATCTTACATTGTAGGGCAAATTAAGCTATTAAATTATTTGTTAAACAAAATATACACATGACAAAGTCAACATCTTCTCAACTAAATGAAACGGATATATAAACTTATAATTTCTTACATGCTTCAGTTATGATGAAACTGTGAGGAAAAAAAGATATGAAGTAAAATAATCCATCATCAAAATGAATAATAAATGAGTCAAAATGGAATATTGAATTGATCAAAATTGAATATTGAATAAATCAAAATGAAATAATGATTTAGACAATTATGAAAACTAAAACTGAAAATAATATAGACATTGTTAAAAACGATGTACAGCATTCAAGCCCGCGTAATAAACACCACCTGATAAAATCAAATTGTCTAGTGGATACCTTGATGCATCTTTGACGTAACATTGCAAGAGTGTATCTGCTGAGAAATAAGTATAATCTATAAACATGATATTCCTTCGTTACATAATGACTGAAGACAAAAATCATTTTCAACGGGATCAAACTGCAAAAGAGGCATATAAAATAACAAAATAAGAGTCCTCTTAACGTCAAATTGAAGTCACCGGATTTTTGAGCAATTAATTTTTATTGTTGAACTTTTTATAAATGCGTAATGACACACATACACCAAAATTCTAGCCAACCATGAGTCACAATAGTCACAGACGCGTACTTATCAAAACCTAAGAGCATTCCTTTCTTTCACCATTTCATAAACCCAGATTTGAATGAAATACTACATACTAAACTTTTGAGGATCGTGAAATGCTGGAGACATAAACAATAACGCGGGACATTTAATTATTCTGTAACAAAACTAAAAACACAACCTGTGACAGTTTTATTTGATTGAAATAGAAGCCTTAATAATGCATTAATCTTTGCTAGAAATTGTCCGATTTAACAAAAAAATTTGAAGCGACGTGAATTTAGCGTATTTGTTCATATGTCTAGCAACGGAAATATAAAAAAGAAGATTAATTTTGTTAAAGAAATGATTGTCAGTTCATCAGTACAAAGTATATCATTTTGTATTATTGTGGTGAGATAATTACAATTTAAAAGCTATGTTTTAAATGAAATTATGATTTATATTTTTCGTATTAAATAATTTGAATGGAATATTGTTTGTCCCCAAAAACCCCAGCCTGAATTGCATTTTTCTTGTTTCACTTATGGCCCAAGATCTCCCGCGCAGCCTTTTTTGCTTCTGTTTTAAAAAACATTTTAAAAAACAGTTCCTTTGGGACTGGTTAGGGAAATTTCCCTTTTCCATTTTGATTTTTTCAAAATTTCTGTGCCTTTTTTTTCAATTTTTGCATTTTTTATTTTTTTCTGCAGCTGTAAAAGCATCATCCCGATCTAGGGCTGTTCCCTTACGAATCGCGAAAAGTAAACGTTCTGGGTAAGCTAAAAGAATACCCAGAAAAAATAAAAAAATACAAAAGGGAGCTTAAATTTAAAATTTTAAAATAAATCGATTTAAAACCCAAAAAAGAAACATTGACAAAACTGAAACTCATTTAGGATTTCTTTGTATAATTGTGCATATTCATTAATGACAGTGGTACCTGCAATATAACACCAACTTTAACACTGCCCTATATAAACTATGAAACAATTTTCGATTTAGAAATTCAAGATCTGCAGATACATAATACATGAATGTTCATTGGTGGTTATCCTAATCATAGAACCTTCAAGTTGACTTTTAACCGTTTGATGTCATTCCAAAACCCAACAAGAGAATAATAAACTGATTGATTTAATAGATAAAAGTGCTGCAAAATGTGCTGAGAACTGTTGTTTGGGGTAAATGCCGAACCCCGTATGTGTTGAGGAGAATTTGTAGGTTCTATCACTAGTGGTACATAACAAAGGATGAACACTGTAAACACATATGAGCCGCGTCACGACAAAACCAACATAATGGGTTTGCGACCAGCATGGATCCAGGATCCATGCTGTTCGTTGTCAGTTTTTCCACTTGTAATAGAGTTGATAAGCGAACAGCATGGATCCTGATCAGACTGCGCGGACACGCAGGCTGGTCTGGATCCATGTTGGTCGCAAACCCATTATGTTGATTTTGTCATGACACGGGTCATATTAGCTTTTAAAATTATACAATTACAAATGTAGTTCTATGATGAGTTTTATATATGTTGGTGAATGTTAAAGAGCAAACTGAATTAAGATCAGGAAACATAGCAAATGTATTTAGTAAATTCATCTCAGCTTTAAAGAAAAGAATTATGCTAAATCCATAGTGAAAGGTAATTCACTTGCATTATGTTTATATGTAAAGGTAACAAGACCATCGTTCTTAACTGAAAAAAGCTTCACTGTAAACTCTTACAATTCACTTTAATCAACAACATGCTGTAGCCATACGTATTTTGACTAAATGTTATATCATAGAAGCTTCTAATTTCCTAAAGTACAGATATAATTGACGTACTATGATTTTACGAAATATGGGCAATAATTATATGTTTCGTATATATAAAGTATATATATAAATAAAGTCTGAAGTTTCAATTTGATGTTACATATTTTCAATATGATACAAGCATATTAAATCTAATACACAAGTCGTTAAAATGAAAATAAAAACTTGTTTGACTTAAATGTATTGCTGTGGACTATACTTAGTATTATTGCACTTTGAGCTTTGCTTATTGAATAATGATACTGCATTTTTTAGTGTAAAAATTCGACAAAGTCATTGGAATATCAATATAATTATGAAAAAAGATATATGTGAGAAAGCCAATATAAACGTAACATTTATCTACAGATCTATGGTAATTTTAATTATAAACATTTTTAGAACAATTTTATTCGTTTGCTTCTTAATACATTTAATTGGTGTTATGTTATTCACTTCAGTAACTTACTTTCTCCATCTATAGATTTACTTCCTGACATTTCCTTCGGCGGGACACTATATATATACGATACAAATACAGTTGTTGCCTCTTGGAAACTTTCGCAAAGAGAATCAAAGTTCAAGAGTTCAAGATTCTGAATGTCACGAGTATCACCTGGCATTGGGAACGCAAAACACCTACGTTTTGGAAAGTATTTTCTAATGCATTGCCTTAGCTTGTTATATTGTGCAGCTTTTTTCTTCTTCTTAGCTAATCTCCTTTCGAGATATTCATCTGCTGATATCGGAGTCCCCACCACCATCGTTCAATTCTAGGGCTGCAATCTCGCATACAAAGAACGAAATCCGGCAATATCAAATTTTGCATTTGGTTATCTTCCAAAGATTTTTCTCGGAACTTAATATTCTTCGCCATTTCTGTAACAAAGCTTACTCTAGTTAAGTTTTGATACTACATCGTTTATAATGTCTTACTATGATTTTACAGAAAGTTAGAAAAACTTTATGGGGATAAGACTCTTCTCGAACATACTAAAATGATTATGTGAAGAAAATAATGATTATTCTCTTTAAGTCACACTACGAGAAATACGCAATACGAGAAAATTAAAATTCTGAATTCATCTTCTCGTCCTTTTTATTATGTATAAAATATCTCCCTGTCAATAAGAATTTAGTTCTTAATAAAAAGAACTGCAATTATTTATCATCAAAACATAAAAGGATACGTAAGTTTAGAAATAGCCTCGTTATCGAAAGCTCCTTTTATGTTATAAACGAGGCAGTTACAAAGAAGAGTCGTTAAAGTAAAAAGATTGGTGTCATGATTTTGGTCGCCCTGAAAGTAAAAGAACAAAACAAAAAAACACATACATGTACATGTATAAAGGTAAACAATCATTTCTTACATTTAACGTCGTAAAATATAAAAATAGTGATATAGAATAATTTATTGCTGTTACATGGAGTTGTATCCGCTAAGCACCGCTAAACTTACACTTTTTGCAATATAACAAAATGACTTGATCAGGTTTCTTATTTCTTTTATTCTTTTATGAAAACGTCACTTTTGGCGTATGAACAACCGTTATTGCACAGTTCAAAAATGTTAAGAGTATATAATACCTAAATTATAGAATATAAGTGAATCAAAAACTGTGTATGAATGTATAACTTCCTGTAGAAAATAGGACAAGCTTGTCATTCCTCTTAATCTATCTTACTCATTTTTAATCAATAAAAATCTAGACTTACTTTTCCAACATCACCAAGACCCTCAGTATCAAGAAGTACCAAAACTGTGTTCTTTTGTGTCGGATGCATTTTACACCATACCCAAATACCTATAGTTTGTGATTGAGTTGTATTGCCAAGTTCAAAACCACCTAAAGCATTGTAACACACATATGAACAGCTTTTTATTACAATGTAAACAGAGAGCGTTTTAACTGAAAGGGGAAGGTAAAGTTCTACGCTTTTCGGATAATAAAAAGGATATTAATAGAAAATTAATTGAATATTTATATGTTTTGTTTAAAAAGATGAAGGCTGTCTGCTAAATTAACATGCTACATATTACAACTTCAAATACAACTATAGTTATATGTGTACCTTTGAAAGAGTTAGCCAAACAATTCATCAGATAAGATTTGCCAGTTCTGCATGGACCTACCACGGCTACAACAACCAGTGGCAGATCTATCTTTTTAATTTGTTCGGATACTTTCATTTCACTTTTCCAAATGATTTTTCCTTTTTGACCGTCTTCATTTTCTTCACTTTTGGCACTGATCAAACGCATAGGATGTTTAAAAACTTCAAGATCACTTAAAGACCATGTGCTGTAAATATAATAATAAAGAAATTATAAAATAAGAATAGAACTACGCAATTAAAGAAAGCATCGCAAACTTTAACGATATATTATGCTCAAATTTTATAGAACCAATTTACCCATAACATCTACTTGTTTGTAAATATGAAAATAAACATAATTTGACTTCTCATAAAGTAGATATGTTATGTTGCAAATCCTTCATACTATAGGAATGAATATACAATACCAATATGTGAAACAATAAGTACCATTCAAAAAGATACTCAGCCGAAAAAAAACTGGTTAACATGCAAAGTTATGTTATTTTAAAGTTTTTAATAGAACACATGTTACTGTAACAATGCTTGCATAACAGTGACATAATGACATAATAATTAATTCTTGTAGCAAAGAAAATACCCATTTTGTTATCATTGAAATGAAATTATAGCATATAGATATTGACGATTTTTCAAAGTTAGACAACTTCTATTTAAGATATCCCTTTTTCTTGTTTTACGTTTGACTTAAATTCTGTTATAATGTGTAGTTAAAATAACATTCCTCATTCATGTACATTTTATTTTTTGTTTGTTTGTTTGGATTTAATGGCACGTTAACACATAACTGACCATATTGTGCCGAAAAAAATAGGCTTAAACCAAGCCTGCAATTCTTCTGTAATTTTGTTGTGATTAATGCTTCCAAGGGGTCACTTTATATATTATGTAAAAAATAGATAAAATTCTAGTTGCATATTGAAGTGAAAACTTTTTTGACGAAGATGAAGCGACGGTTCCCCAGCTTCCACATGTAGACTGTAGATGTGAGGTGCGAAAAGCACCTAAAGCTAATCGTAAAATGGTGATGTATGGTATCTAGCATTAATTTTTGAAGATTTGATTTTCTTGCAGACCCATACTCTACAGGACCATAATCTAATTTTGATTGGATAAGACTTCTGTATAATTTCAGTCATGTGGTAGAATTTGATCCCCAATTTGTACTTTATAAAACCTTGAGTAAATTGAAAGCTTTTAGAAATTTAGTTTTTAAATGTTTACTATGTGGTATAAAAGAAAGCTTTTTTATTAAATACAAGAAAAGCATTGATGCAAAGCATCAAAGGGCGTCCGAAAGTGAAAATGAACTAGTAGACATATGATGTCAAGATATTCATATAAAATTTTCAATGGTTAATTGGTTTTTACCAGAATGAACGGACGGAAGACATTGCTCATTATGAACTTTGATTGGCATGCTAGATATTAGAATATTACTTGTTATTTCTTTATGATTGTGATTATTAATAGCAACGGATAAACATGTTTACAATCATTTATAATCCATATGTGTAACGCATGATCAACACCACACTTGTGGAATTGTCCCTTATTATGTAATCGCTATAAGCGAAGACCCCTCTTAAGGTATCTGTTCACACTTAGTAAAAATATGACACTCGTTTTATTACCATGTCATGTTGAGCATTATTGTTTATTACTAGTATACAATAATTGTAATATCTATTTTAATAACAAAAATACAGATTTTATAGATTTTGTTTTCCTCTCTTTTTTGTGTTTTTATGTGCTATTTTAATACTGAGTTTTTTACGTTTACTACTCTTTTTTATTAAAATTGTAAAATATTTTAAGAATTCAATTGTCATATTATAACGACGAATAAGTCAAAACTTAACTGGAAAAAGTCAGTAAATTATGGTTAATCTTTCAATATATAATATTGTTTATTCTTAAACCATGTACATGTACATTTGTATTTTTCTCTATCATTTTTTAAATTATCAATCAATTAAATAATTAATAAAATCTAATTTGTAACTTTGAATAATTGCTCGGCTTTTACTAAACACGAATAACAAATTAAATAAAAAAATTCAAAGTTGATAGTGTCATATTAAAACCATAAAAATGTACCTTTTTTCACAATTAGTGTACATATCTAATGTTTTTATCTCATATAGATAAAATGAAACATGCTATTGTTGCTGTTTTTTTTTCGAATTGTATGTTTATGTATAAAAATAATCAATAAATTTGAGAGTTGATTTATGTTTATTAATTATTGTAATCAAACTAAGTGACAAACATTCATTTTGGAAAAAAGGTTATTTATCTGTAAAATACATGTAGTTGTTCTGTTCTGCAACGATATCAAACATCTACTCCAAAAACCGGGAGAGACCGGACAATAAACGTGTTGTCACTAGTATCCCGGTAAAAATAGACCGGGAGAGACCGGAATTACCGATAGGAGTACATCCCTCTATAAACAGATTTTCGGACTATTTAGGTCATCAACGCATCATTCTATTTTAACGTATCATGATAACCCACTGTGTACTACAAAATGATAAATAAAAAAAAACGAAGAGACGGAAACTGTTATTGCATTTGAAAATGTTTGCATTGCAAAATCTTCTAGTTCGCTATTCGTTGTACATATCGCGACAATTCATTTCATTTTTAATTAATATAATCAAGCACCCTCATACCGATCGGAATGATCGGCTTTTATTATGACCGACTAAAAGGCTCGAGAAGTTGCCGTCGCCCTTTCACAAAATCTGATTTCATTCCATAAAGGGGCGCCGCGCTTCGGCGCAGAAGGCCAATAACCCACTGTGTACTACAAAGTGATTAATCAAAAAACCCGAAGAGCGCTATTTATTGACTGGAAAGGTTATTTCATTAAAAAAAGTTTGCAATGCGAAATTCTCCAGTTCGCTATTCAGTGTACATATCGCGACATTTCATTCAAGCACCCTCATACCGATCGGAATTTATCATGACCGACTAAAATGCTCGAGAAGTTGCTGTCGCCCTTTCACAAAATCTGATTTCATTTCATATAGGGCGCCGCGCTTCGGCGCGGACGCCAATAATTTCTTTAAAGCACAGCTTCATTAACTACTGGAATTTTAGAACCATCTCTGTAATGTTCAGGGTCGCAATCGACAAAAGTGAACACATTGAGTTTTTGACTATGAAAACATTTTTATTGACCACTTTTTAAATTTTGTTGTTGTTGTACTTTTTTGCTCGTTAGCAGATAAGGAAATCGTCTACATATAAAAAACAATATATGCCTGGTGTAAGAGCGCTAACAATATCGTTTCTTTTCAGGCCAAAAAGTGTAACAGAAAGTATGCATCCTTGAGGAACAACTTGTTCTTGCTGGTGATTTTATCACAAACCCTTTGTTTCATTTTATAGTGGGAAAACGTTGCCCGTATATTCAATCAGAGAGGTTTTATTTCCGATCCTTAGAGATCGTTCAGCACGAAATTATGGTTGTATTTGCGGTATGTTCAGTTTTAACTATTTGGCTTTTTCTAGTTGTGTGGTTCCAATAGTTCTTCTTGAATAATGTTGAATCACCCCAAGGATATGTTGCCTGCTTTAAAAATTTGTCTTTTGACGATTGACGATCCTGGGTAATACCTTGGGATTTTCCAGAGACACCTTCAGTGTCTCCCACATAACGAGAGGTGTACTGGTAAGAAAAAAACCCAGTTAATCCTCGCAAGTATCAGTGCAATACACTGGGAATGTAAGAGACCCAAGGGGTCTATTAAATAACAGCTAGGGACTGGTTAGATATCATAGCTGTCTCTTTAGTGACTATTCTAGATCCATGTCTACGTCCCCGCAAAGGTATGACATTTATGGAAGATAGATAAAATTATGCAACGGAGCAATTTACCAGAATTAGAATTTGCTGAACATAGTCATTATCAGAATGCCGTATTAATTAAATACAATACATACTTTTAAAGTTAAGTACTCAATATGCATATCGATTTTAATTTTTTGTAAATTTTTTTTTTTTTTTTTTTGGGGGGGGGGGGGGGGGGGGGGATGGGATCTACTTACCTTGATTCATTGTTTTTTCCCAAAGTCTCCTTTGGCGATTCTTGCAACGAAGAAGTCCTAGAAATAAAATCGATTGAACCTTTTAATGCTAATGTGGTTAATTTTATTAAAGATATGCATATTTAAACACACATGATTTCCCTTAATTCAAAACATTTATTTTATTTTATGCTCAATATTTTCACATAATCATTTTGTCCATCGAGACAGTACATATTATTCTACACGATTATGGTCAGTGAATATGAACCACATTTTATGAGAAATAAACTATTATGAAAATAACACCACTATTAGATTGAAAAACGCCTGGCAAATTAAAAACATGATAAGGGGACGATTAAAGCGGAACAGTTTAACACAATACAAACTGTTTGTTATTATATAATATTCAAATAAAGCAAAATTTGTACTTGTTCAAATATTTGAATTTGAAACTTAAAGATAAACAAAAAACGAACAAGAATGAATGATTATATATTTTGTTTATATCTGTAATGACCTACCAGCGTTTTCCAGACAACGTCCTTTTCACTTTTTCGAGAAATTCCTTGTCAACTGTTGCTGTTTTCAATCTGAAGTTTTCAAGAATATTCCAAAATGATGTTATTGGGTAATGGTGCCTGAGACTTGAGTTTACCTAACACAATGCTTAGTAAACTTTTATTGATTCAACTCATTCCATTTAATAATATAATTAGCATCCATATTGAAACATATTCTTCAAGTTGGTATATAAGATAGTTGTGATTTGAATATTTCATTTATTAATTTGTTTTGAAGATATTTTTTTTTTTATTTATCGATGGTCAGGTTGTCAGCGTTCGTTCAATGGTTTTGTTTTGTGATAAAAAAAACGACGAAGGTAGCATTTAAACGTGCTTATATAGTTATTTAAACGAAATATGCAAATTTGAGGTTGTCATATGTACATATTTTTCTGCAAAAAATTAAACAGTGATACAAACAATCATATGACAAAGCAATGACATTGTGAAAACCATGCGTTTCATCATAAATCAATGTTTATTTAGTCATTTAAATTGTGAGAAGTGAATTGTTTAAGGTAAGTAAATACGGGAAGAAATTTGAAAAATACTCTGTTATATAAAATTTAGGTAGTCATTACATACACTTAATGGTCATTGAAAGGAAATGAATAAAAACTAGAACATTTGAATTGTTCTCCATAAAGGATTTTTCTGCCTCAGATATGCTACATTTTTATTTCCTAATAAGACTTTTTATCTTTGTTATCTTGTTTCACATTAAATAATAAGATCTATAATTTATCATTTAGACGATCTTGTGGTCTTTGACAATTTTATAATTATAGATAGTAAGTATTTGTATTTGAATCAAAATACTTCTTTGTTCACATTTTGCTGCTTTTATGACAAATCAATTCAAGTTGAGAGCTACTTTCCTCCATTATTAAACATATATCCAACTTGCTCTTAATCTATCAATTACACACTTTAAACACATATTGGACATTCTTAAGAGTTAAAGATATTTATGGTTTTCTGGGGCATGATTTGTCCAACACGACAACTGTGTGAAACATTTGGCCCAATTTTAACAAAATGTTTTTTTTTATTAATGTACTGTAACAGTTGTTTAAATAGCGGCTCCTTTTTTCAAACATCACAGGAACTTAATAATCTGTAATATTTATCAAGCCCGACAAATATTTGATTTCAATAATTTTGAAGAAAGGAGTAATACCTTTGAGCTTACAATCTATAGAAACTAAAACATTTTCCACCTCGAAACATATATAAAAAAGTTATCCGACCCCTCAAATGTATCATATCTGTTTTTGTAATGTACTGACGCAAGTGCTTAAATATAGTTAACTAACCGAGATACTCCTTAATGAATTATTTAATCATGAAATAAATAATACCTTCATTCTGTAGTTAGATTTTAATAAATTTTGAAAGTATCGGGTATCAAAATGTGTTAATGAATTGCATTTTGAAGTTAGTGTATGAATATGATAAAATAATAAAGACAGCACCTTCAAAGTTTCATATATATCTTAGAGTTTAGAAAAAACGAGAAAAGAAACAACTCGACAGTAAACCAAATCAAACATATTTATGGACTGGAAAATAAAAATAAAACCCAATGTAAAACCTTTTCAAATTCAGTCTGAGTTAAAGCTATGAAATGTCTCTTTTAAAACAGAATGCGTACTACTGCAGTCCTCTTAGGTCGCGGCATGCACTCTACCCCTTCCCTCAGATGATGCTTTGTGAAGCTCTTCAATTGTTATTATACTTTTTGTACATTTCCCTTAGATGATGTCAATCAGACAAACACTTATAGATATTGCAGATGCTGAAAAGTTTCCTGTTTTTCTTTGTAGTCATTTAATCTTTTATCAGGAAATGCCCTGAACAAATTTTAAAATGTTTATAGCATTGTAGGTCATGATTACCTTATTATCTCCAAGGATAAACTGGTCTTATTCAAAAGTGCATGTTAAATTATTCATGTTCAATCTTAAAGGACTTCCAGTAAAACATTTTATAATATAATGTAGTGGGTATTAACTGAAATTACTTGTAATATCACTGAAATCTCGTTTTATATCTTTTTTTCTTCTTTTCTTTTCTTTTTTTCATTTTGGAAGGTTCAGCTGACAACCAATGTTTCTGATGTTTGAAAATGTACTAATTTTTTTTAAAGTTTGAGTTAAGTAAACATATTCTTTTTGTAGTGCCTGTTCTATAAAAAGAATCCATGCATAACATTATTTATCATTAAAACATCATATGGTTTTGACTGCTTATACATTTTTACGAAGATTAAACCTACATAAACGCTGGACAGCGGGAATGTCTACATGTACCTTCTACAGGTCAAGTGGCTCCCTTCTTTGAATCAGTGTATAGTATTTCAGGACGTTTTACATTTATGTATAACATTAAAAAAATGAAATAAAAGTAAGCTACCTCAATGCCTTTGGTGTATGGTCATTAATCTCAGTTGGTTGTTCTGCAGAGGGTAACGTGCTTGAATTCCAATACGTAAATAATAAGTGTAACATGATATAAATGAAACGCGATTAAATATTGTCAATTTGAAAAATATTTATTTTAATGTGTTACCTAAACAGCAGTCGCATGCTTTTCACAAGATATATCATAGTAGTTTAAATACCACATTAATATTATTCAAACTCAATTAAAAAAATGTGTCAAAGTCAGAAAATGCCGGGTGGCATATGTTTAACAAATACCAAGTCGGTAAACTGGAAGTTGATGAGCAACAGACATGAAATCGAATTTCACGATATGGGACCTGTGAACCACATATCAAGAGACTGTGATAAGTAGTTGCATAGAAAACTGTTACAAACATGCCCTATCATTGACAATTAATATCGAAACTCTAACTAGTAGGCAAACAGGTAGTGGATGAGCGAAAGACATGAAATCGAATCCCAAGATATGGGACCAAATGTTGATGCTGTTTCTCAAACATCAAAAGGCTGTGATAAGTAGTTGCTGTGAAAACTGTTATGAAAATTTCCTACCATTGACCATTACTGTCGAAAATTTAATTAAGTAGGCAAACAGGAAGTGGATGAGCAACAGACATGAAATCGAATCCCACAATATTGGACAACATGTAAATGCTGTATACCAAATATCAAAAGGATGTAATATATAGTTGCAGAGAAAACTGTTACGAACATTTTCTACCATTGACCACCATTAATGTCGAAAATTAACTTGGTCGACAAACAGAAAGTAGATGAGCGACAGACCTGAAATCACATTTCACGATATTGGACCTCATGTTGATGGTATACCAAATATCATAAGGCTGTGATAAGTAGTTGCTATGAAAACTGTTACAAAAGATTTTCCCCGTTCGAGAGCCGCCGCCCACCAGCCCGCCGTCCAATAATCACCATAATAAAACCCGGGTTTGCAAATATGCAACCCGGCGAAAAATATATATTGAAATGATTTTTACATTTTTTTTTATTTTTTTTTTATTAAAAATCTTTATCTATTTTATAAATCATGGCATCCATTGATCTATTAAATTTGAAATTTGATTTTCGATTCCGTAATCAAGCGACAGTATAAAAAATGATTTCAAAAAAGCAATATACAATAAACATGTCCTAACCTATTGGTTTTCTCTGTTTCTTTACATGGAGAAGATGTCTTGACAGCTGATGCATCTGATTAAAGAAAAAAAAAACGAAAATGACCCGCGTCACAACGAAACCCAAATAACCCTATAATAAGTGGAGAAATGATAGCGAACAGCATGGATCCTGATCAGACTGCGCAGATGTGCATGCAGGTCTGGATCCATGCTGGTCGCAAACCCATTATGTTGGTTTTGTCGTGATGCGGCTCATAAATGCTTTTTAAAAGCATTCTTAAAGCGATAATATACATGTTAATTCAAATCCTCTAACGGGATCTATTCTCGTAATAAAACAAAACTGGTTTAAGTATATCTATATATCAATAAAGGTAAGATAATCAACCATAAATCTGCAAGATAAAATTAATTTTCAAATATTTGCACTTTTTAAAATGAAAAAGTTTAAGTTAATTATAACATGAAAAAAATAAATTATTACGCAACCTGATTTTTGTTGAAAATGTCGACTATCCGGTGTCATGGTTTCGTTTTCTGAAGGCTATTGAAGAAAAAAGTACGAACTTGAATATATAACATTCTAATCTTTTAGCAATTCATATTTTCTTATATGACCTATTATTCTTATATTGAATCAATAAACTATATAAATCTAAACATGATTCTAATGATATAACTGATAAGAAGGGCGAAAAAAATAAATATAAAAAATAAATAACAATAAAATCAATAAAAACAACATAAAATGCATTTCTTTTGCATGCATATTAAATAAAAAATAAATAATTTTATTATATACTAATAAATGAAATATTGATGAAATAAAATGAGTATTTTCATTTTCCGTATTTTCATTATAAAAATTTATTTTTCACTGGAGTAAAACATATTTTCCGTATTTTCACTGGTGTATTGCCGGACTACTTTCTTTTTAAATCTGCCAGTACCCAAAATTTCAGGTTAAGTCTTTCAAATTTTATCGCAAAAAAGAGAAAAATGTATATAATAAACAGAAAATTCAAGTTTTTTTTTCTATAAATACATGATTTCCTTTCATCTTGTGGCATGAAAATTACCATATTTCACTCGTGGCTACAGCCACTCATGAAATATTTATTTTCATACCACTTGATGAAAATAAATCATGTATTTATAAAAAAAAAACTTGAATATCCTCTATTGGTTTTGAAAATTATGCATTTTTGAGAAAAAAAATGAAGTAAAAAGAGAGAAAAAATCATAATACTGCTCTTGCCTGTTTTTCCTTATCTTCACCTTGGAAAGGCTTCGTCTTTTCCTTGAAGTCCATTTCTGCTTGTGTGTCTATTTGTTTTTGCTCTTCATTGTCCATAACCGCCTGTCAATATTTGATTGATAATACATTTATATTTTACATTTTCAATCATTATAAGATGTGTTTATAACATTTGAATTATGAAATTGGACTTAAAGTATAATGGCCATTCCCTCTCATCAGTTAATCAATGTATTGTTAAACTTACTTGCTGAGAAATTAGTACTAGCTGGTATGTTATCGAGGAAAACCAGTTTGATCGATCTTTCAAGGCATGAACAAAATGTGTAAAATCGGGTAAGACAGCCAGACAAACTAATATAAATAAAATAGGTTTTCCAAATACTAGTATTTTATCTTTAAGTCAGTACCGATCAGAACAGCTGTAAACAAATTTTAATACAAACGTCTGTCTATATTTTGATTACATTGGACTAGAAGTAAGATAAGGAAATAGAGAAAATAAGAATCATGGACAAACTACCGTCCACGGCCCCAAGCACCGGCTTGAACAGAATTAAACATTTAAACATGAAAATGGTAAACTTTTGAATTTAGAAACATCCGCATATGTGTTCATACTGCGGTTATCATGGAACCTTCAATGTGATACTTTCGTGTCATTCCATGAAAAGCGGCATATAGACCCAAGCTAAAAGAAGTGTGTGCCCTAAACAACAAAACAATGGGCGGAATTAAATAAAATGAAATTTTGAAAGGGGATTAAAGGTTATGATGCCTACATATCACAGATAAGACGTAAAAAAACAAAGTTAAAAAGCAGGTAACATATCCTAAGTCTACCTTGGATAATGCATTAATTAAATGAAAAAATGTATAACTTGTTCGTATAGCTTTTGTTAAAGGAGGAACCACCATGAGATATTGCAGCACTCGGTCCACTTCCTTTATGTCTTAAATTGTTAATTATTACTTTGTGTAAGAATCGTAAAAACTATTAAAACCAAACAGTTATTGAAACAAGTACTGTAACTATAAATATTTTTATAGTACAAATTGGACATGCGAGATGAAATAATGAACACCCACGATATTTAAGTACACCTTATCGATCCTCTACATTTTGAAAGTTAATATTCAACAAGCAATCCTGACAAAAAAATCTTAATGCACAAAGCTTTCATTGTTTTCTATCGATTATATCAATGTGAAGTTTCTGTTCAATGTGCGTTGTCATTTATCAAAGCAGAAATTACAAAAAGTTTATATTGAACTTAAAATCATGCATATTTTGTTCAAATTAAGTTACCATACAGATCACAGATAAGAAAATGGAACAACACAAACCTTTCAGTGTAAAGGATAGAGCAGACGAAAGAAAGAAATATTAGGTTACATTATTAACATATTTTATATTCTTTACGTGTTTGCTTATTTTATTTCAAACATTCTTCAATTAGTAAATGATCAATTTGGCGGACACTTAAGTAGAAAAATTGATTTATTTTTAGAAGACTATCATATAGCTCATTACGCATATCGGCTTTTAAACAAAAGTCATATATACCACCTTACCGGGTCACAAAGGGACAGTTAACAATTGTTTCAAAACAATAGAGTTGATTTTGTTTGCGGAATGACACTTGTTTTTAAATATTGAATTTCAAATATTGCAACGCTCGACGGCAAAGTTATACAGTCTGCTGTCGAACAGGAAAGTTTGAACAGTAGCTCGGGAACTATTGAGCATTGAAATGTAGAAAACAAATAACCGAATGTTTTGACATGCGCCAAAATTATTATTAATTACATAGTTATTGCAATTATACATAGAATATTGTTAATAAAAGAAACTCGTATGTTTTCCAGTTCAAGTTTTGCATATTATCAGTGTGTGTCTGTAACTGATCTAACGAACTTTACTTAAAGAAAATCAATCGATGATATATGTCTTTGCTACATTTTTATAATAAGTGCGTGTTCTTTTATCACCTACTGTTATTTTTATATACTTTTTATTTACGTACATATGCACGAATGTGTGTTAGCTCGTATTTGAAAACGTCTGAGTTTTATACAATCGTGTGTCACGGGTTCACTCGTCGGTAGAGCTATAATTCTGCCGCAGCTGATAAGCTGGTCCGTGAAAACAGTATTTCTTATAATTGATGGACAAGCATGTGTCCTTTAGAAGGGATTGGGAGCTGTGAAATTAAAGATATATCAAAGCTATATAAACAATATTTATTTAAAAGTTTACAAGGTACGTCTGTATACAATACACAGTTAACGGCGAATGCAATGAATCAATATATAAACAAAGTACATGTATACAAAATATGAAATGTTAACATGAACGATTCCTTTTACAAAGTTGAGCTTTAAAATACTTATTTAGAATACTGTCTAATACAAATTACTTTTACTCATTACTAGAGTGAAATGCACAACAAAATGTATTACTAACCTTTGAAATAAAAGATATATCAAAAATATATAAACCATATTAATTAAACAGTTTACAAGGTACGTCTGTGTGAAATACACAGTTAATGGCGAATGAAACATTGCATTCGTGTACAATGTAAACGGGTCACAGGTTAGAAAGAAAGCGACAAATTGTTATGTAATAGGTTAAGAAACAAAGAAAAGTATAGATTGGGAAGGATAATTTGGCTATTATATAGCAATACAGGAAATGTTTATAGGACAGTTTTTACAATTGTAATAATAAAGGGAATTAAAAATTAAAAAAAACAACACGCATGATTTATTTGATTATTTATCTATTTAATATATTTATCAATTCAAACACATAACTCATTTCAATTTACAATTCGCCCTACGACACTCGTCCGGTTGTTTCTTTTTTAATTCAAGACAATTAAATAATACATACCAAATTGAGTAACAACTATAACTTTGTAAGATCAGTTATGTGTTAATTTTAATTTAACCGAATCACGACTACAAAAATTTAATTTCTAAGTCATAAAATGTGTATGCCATGTTGAAAAAAAAAAGAAACACAAAACAAACAATAAATACCGGCTTTGTGGCGAAAAGCATAACGTCACGTGACAGCTGTACATACACGAGGTATTTGTATTAATATCCATTGATGGAATGTCTTTCGAATATGGCGTTAGGAATAATGATTATGTAAAAAATTATTGATTTTCATTTCGAATGCCTTTATTACATCATTATCTTTTGAACTTTTTTCCTATGACAATTATGTTTTTTATCATTAATTCAGTAATTCCCACCGTGGCGTTATCATTATAGCTGCGGTCTCACTTACTCCTAGCAGAGCCCAGGACCATCATGGTAAGTTATGATCCGGGACGATCCGGGGTGGAATTACTGTTGCGGTCACACTTACCCAGGCAGCACTACGGTAGTTCCCATTTAACCACTCAGGATGCGCTCCGGATCATCCAGGCAGAGACCAAGTGAAGCTACGGTTCATGTCAGTGCTTCCCCGGTCGTTCTTGGATGACGCCGGAAAAGCCCCGGTTGACCAAGGCAGAGCCCCGATCGATCCAGGCAGAGCCATGGCAGATCTCAGGACGATCCAGGCACAGCCCCGGTAGAACCCCGGTGGATTGAAAACGCCCGAAAATGATAACATTTATACGAAAATGATAACATTTATACATAATTTTTATTTAATATAATATCTAAATTCATGATGATTTTCTGAAAAATCCTTATGCTATACTGAATATAGCACCTTCCGTGGTAAGGAATTTCTGTAGCTAATAAGCATTAAAAAAAATTATTGTCTACCCTTTTCAGTCTTTCTACTTATATATACATATCTTCAAAGATACGTATTTCGAGTCATTATAAAATTTCAGTAGAAAGTATTTTGCCGACGCGAAACAAAAATGTGTCGGTCATTACGTCAAAATAACTAGACGTCATTTCTTGTTTGTTTTATAAACTAATCAAGATTTTTTCTGCTTAATTAACTTAGCAGATTAATACTTCATGATGTATATACGAGCCATCGGTATTACACAATAATGAAAGTGCCTATTGTTGTATGATAATTACCATGCTGACAATGATTTTTTTATTCTTTTCCCTCTTTACCGGAAATGAATTGATATTGCCATGCTACATATGTATTTTTGTTTCCTGGTTTATTGATTTTATAGAACGAGGGACTTAAATGATAAAAATTTAAGAAATTGAAAAACCAAAGAAATATTTTGAACAATATTCTTTACCTTTAGAGTTTTGTTTTTTATCCACTACAACGATATATCCAGCAAAGTTGCCTTTGATTTCTTTTCACAACAAACCCCAAAGAAAAGTAAAAACATGAACATATTGTTAACGTTAAATAAACGTCTATTTCGGAAGACAATTACTTAATAAGCAATTTAACAGACAAAAGTTCGTTTGTATTGACGTTTGAAGGTAAATACACTGTCCGACGTTTACAACGCATACACAAAAACAACAAGAACAACTTGCAACTTTTACAGAGAATGATTATTTGTAGGATATAAATTCATCCTAATACCAACACCATTGTTGCATCATAGAGTTAAGGTAATCAGAAAAATGAACAATCAATAAATAACAGTTTGATATTTGGTTTTCATCTCTTTTGCAACCGAAGACCAGATGTATTTCTATAATATGTCAAATATGCACCATACAGTTGTAAGTTCCGCTCTTTGAGAACAATGAAGCATTAAATTTGTTCGAGGAGTATAGTCGTGACGAGGCCTATCTGTGACTGTCCACGTTTGTAAAAAAGTCGCCCTTCTTGGAAAACGTCTGGGATGCCGTCGCGGACGCAGATGATGAATGAAAGAAAATATATTAGAATCGACGTATCCTTTGTTGAGCGAATTAGTCGCGGGTCACGGACGCGAATTACAAATAACGTGAAAATGGAATAGCGCCAGTGACAAAGGCGAGGACAGTAGCATGCACTTACCAAAACTGTTCTTTAAAACACTCAATCAAACTTTTAAATTTTGCCGTTTTGCTCCTTGCCACTGGCTCTTGTTACTGGGTCTGGTGGGGGCTGCGCTCATTGAACGCCGCCTTTCCTTGATGATCTTGTTTATCCTATTTTGGACTTTATTAAAGGATTCTATTTTTCTATTGGTCTCTATTCTACTGATGATATGGGACATGAATGAAATATGTAGAAAATGCGTTTGAATGACTATTACTTTTTATAAGAAACGCTTAATATGTGATTTCTTAAACCTGATCCTGAAACAAGTACAAAAGAACAGAGTACTTATATATAACATAACAAGTATTTTGTTTTTGTGATGATATTTTTGTGATATTGATTAAAGTCGCATCAACACGGTATGTGGCCACTGTTCAGCTCTTTCGGTAAAGGAAGACATCACAAGCCCTTCCGTGCACTATTTCAGACACGAACGGGCACCTTAGGAGGATGTTCCGAAAGCTTACTCGATAGATTCCTCACAAAATATTCTAAAGTGCCTGTCATGAAGCAACGGCATATTGGTGATGGCAAGTGGCTTGAATTTAACGACATCAGCCGTTCGGTCACGGACGCGCATACAACATTGAAATATTATGGATTCTAATGGTGATATTTTGTTTTTATAAAAAGTTTGCCTCAAAAGTTATCGAATTTTTTGTGAAAATGATTTGGATGTTAGTTGTTATCGAGATTATACTATTTATACTCTTTCCGTTTTATGAATTAAAATGTTGCGTTTTTAAAGTGTCTCAGTGTATAATTTACTTAAAAGAATCGAAAACGAAACTACTTTTGAAAATCGGTAAAGTACCTGTATGTACACGGAAGTCTGAATCAAATTACCGTGCAGTTATCTCCCTTTCGGTTAGGTTCGTAATTGGCTACTTATCCACCTTGTACCATATCAAGTGCGGGTGCCTTTTAGATGTGTGGTTGTTTTTTGTGAACGTTCCATAATAAGGAATAGGACATTTTATAGAGTGTGTGACGTTTAAAGGGCATTCAATTTGAAAAGTTAACACAAACATAGCTTGTATTTAAAGTGTGTCAGTTTTAATTTTATATTGCTGGACATGATTTATTATCCGCCGAAACACCCAAGCCTACGGAACAGGGCACCAAAAATGCACCAAATCAATACATGGAGTCATTTAGTCTATTTTCATGGGGGACTGTTACACGAGAGATTGAGACCTTATGTATCATGAAATAAACAGGTCAATACGCGCAAATAATTTGGAATTTTTACCCAAAACAATCAGATTTTTAACAAGAGGCGATGACAAATGGACTTTGAATTAGTTTTTGACACATAATACAAGATGTAAGGTAAGCTTCATTATTAAAGTTTAATTCAGCACCTGAAACACTCTTTTTAAAGATGTATATTACCTTTTTTGACAAGTGTTAAACGTTTCCGTGACAGTTATCACAAGAACTCCTGGCAAGTTATCATTAGAACTCCATCCTTCGTGTAATAGTTCCTCCTGCTGTTTTAAGGACAGTCAATCAACCTTTGAATTTTTTGAAACAAAATCAATATAGGTTCAACTGAATGGTTTTACTGTGACAAAAGAATAGAGTTGAAATCTACAACTTTTTAATGATCATTAGATACAACGCCTAACTTCTGGTCAAGATGGCGGGAGAAAAAGGAATTTTGTTGACCATAATTTTTACGATTTAAATTTGTACTACAATCAACTTTTATCAGAAAAACTTTTAAAATTGTCAACGAACGATACACAATTCTTCAGGGATCCTTGTAAATGTAACAAACCCGCAGATTTGACTTGAAATTTTTTTTGATCGAAAAAACAACTTTTTGGGAAACTTTTAAGAACCCTTTATTTTAGGGGCGTTTAAAACTTTTAAACTCTTTGGTTTTGGGAAACTTTTTTTTTGGGGGAAAAAAAAAGGGGGGAAAAAGTTGGTTTTTTTAAATCTTAAAAAAAATTTTTTTTTAGGTTTTTAATTTAAAGGGTTATTTAAAAACCACAAAATTTTTATTTATTTTGCATTTTTTTATATTCGGAAAAAAAAAAAAAATATCCCCCTGGAAAAAAGGGGCAGGACAAAATCACTTTTTAAAAAAAAATTTTGTAAATTCAGAAAGGAACAAATTTTTAAAATAGGTCTTTAAAAAAAAAAGATTTTTTTCCAAAAAAAATGCATGGAAAATTGTTTTACCATATTTAAAGAGGATTTTTTAAAAAAATTTTTAAGGGTTTTAAAAAATATTCCCCTGGAAAGTGAAAATCCGTCAACCGGTTTTAACTAAAATCTTTTTTAAAAAAGGCTCTTTTTAAAAAGATCAAAATATTGAAAAAAATTAAAATTTTTTGAAGTTAAACTTAAAAAAATTTTTTTTGGTTAAAATTTTAAAAAAAGGGTTTTAAAAGGGTTTTTCTCAGTGCGAAAAAAATTAAAAAATTAAATTAAATTTACACATATTAGGGACTTAAAATTTTTAAAAAATAAAAAATTTAAAAATCAAAAAACACATTTGCTTGGACTTTTAAACCCCCCCTTCAAAAAAAATTTTAATTCAAAAA